TCTCGGTTGTTCGATAGAACCATTCTGGCAACGTACACGTACACGAATATTCGTACCACGTCTTTCTGATTTGGAGGGAAACACGAGCGGGAGTCGGGGAAATTACCGAGCCGTAAGAGCGTGCTTTGAAAGTTGCTCGTGCGCTTTGACTTGCCAGTAAATCAAACATGCACATCTTCACTAACCTTTTCGTAGTCACATAGTTTCATTGCTTTTCTCACATTTAATGCACTACTATTGATGTACGCCATTGTTCTGTTTCCATTCGGTTCTTTTTCGAATCTTCAAATGTACCACGTCCAAGCGCCGAATCATCAGCTGCTTTCTGCATTGACTCTCCCTTGTTCAGTCTCTTTATTGCCTCAAATTATTGTTCCATCGACACAAATGTCTTTCTTTTTCTTTGCAATACTAAATAAATTTCGATTTTTATGGAACACGTTTTTCAACTTAAACACAATCATACAACAAACTGTACTGAATGAGTACAGACGAAATGAAACTGTAACTGGACCCCTCTCCTTATCAGATTCTTGCTTCTCGTTCGGTGGTAGAGTCAGGGGAAAAAGTCTCAGCATCTTTCTTTATTTTTTGTGATACAAAATGTATGTCATAGGCTAAAAATTTAGATAGATAGATTTATTAAAGTTCGCTTTGAGCTAATGCTCGGTGGCAAACATGACATGGAAAATAGACTATGCGGAAAATTCGTTGGTAATACAGAATGTCAGATAAACAATGGTCGTATAATGGTTGAGTAGTCTCTGAAGTGTGCATGCTATAGGAGCGAATTTTGGTGGCTTTATTCCCCTGACTCTACCACTTCGTAACGAGGAAGCAAGAAATCTGATAAGGGAGAGGGGTCCAGTGTACAGTTTCATTTCGTCTGTTACTCAGTGCAGTACAGTTTGTTGTATGATTGTGTTTAAGTTGAAAAACGTTGTTGCAGTTTAAAAGTCGAAATTTATTTAGGTATTGCAAACGAAAAGAAAGACATTTGTGTCGATGGAACAATAATTTGAGGCAATAAAGAGACTGAACAAGGGAGAGTCAATGCAGAAAGCAGCTGATGATTTCGGCGTTGGACGTGGTACATTTGAAGATTCGAAAAAGGAACCGAATGGAAACAGAACAATGGCGTACATCAATAGTTAGTGCATTAAATGTGAGAAAAGCAATGAAACTATGTGACTACGAAAAGGTTAGTGAAGATGTGCATGTTTGATTTACTGGCAAGTCAAAGCGCACGAGCAACTTTCAAAGCACGGAGCTCTTACGGGCTCGGGTAATTTCCCCCGACTCCGCTCGTGTTTCCCCTCCAAATCCAGAAAGACGTGTGTACGAACTGTTCGTGTACGTGTACGTTGCCAGAATGGTTCTATCGAACAACCGAGACTTGTATTACGTTTTGATTCTTTACTACTCATTACTATTTTATGTTGATTTTCTTTTTTAATTCTGCCATGAGTAAACATTTTTGTAAAAATGACATAAATGTTTCAATGCCGAATTCTTTCCGTGTGTTTATTTTAAGTAACCAATGTGTTTTACATGATTCATTTATTACTTTCCCGCATACGTACGAATATAAGGAGTATAGGAAAAGTTATGTAATGCTGGGAAAAATCGATTTCCAGATTTTAACGGACTTTTTGGAGTCCCCTAATACAGAAAAGTGGTTCTTTTCAAAACGTCCGCATTTCGTCCGTCTGTCTGTGAACACTACTAGCGCATAAACCATACGTAGGATTTTTTTCCAAATTGATGAAACCCCGGCCATCATGGCTCGAATCAAAACTTTGAGATTTTGAAAACTTATCTTCAAAATTTTGGGGTAGCTTACATGAAACACTCCAAACATTTGCAAAATTTTCTCAAAAACTGCTCCAAATTTTTTCTTTAAATTTCTTGTAAAAAATAGAGTAAAATACACTTACAAACGTGGCAAGGGGTCCGATTTTCACGGTTAACTCTGAATTTTCGAAAATTTCAAAAGTATGAATTTTTTCGGTGTCCTCCTACAATTACAAAATTAAAGATAGAGATTTTTCCTTCAAATACAATTTGTTTTCCATAGTGAGTTCTTTCATTAAAATAACATAGATTTTAAAAACTAAATTAGTAGTCTTCGCGCAAGATAGCATGCAATCTAAACAAATACAAACACAAGAGTTTCTGAAAAACGGCTCTGACTTTTTTCTCTATTCTTTTGGTAGGGATAGTGTTGATAAACTCTGTAAGGTGACAAAAAACGCCATATTCTTTTATTTTTCAAATTTTTTGATTTTTTACACTCTCTCACGTCCTTAATATTTACATTAGCGGCAATTTTTTACATTATTGCATTTATGAGTATATATGCTTTAAATAATGTCAAATAAAGTTTCTCGAAAACTCGACCACTTTCTGTAAAAACTACCTCATACATTCGAATTTTCTGAAACGCTCAAACCCCATGTTCTCAATAACGGTTCCAAATATTTTCTTCAAACTTTTGAAATAGATATTGCTAATTGCACTCTTCATTATGACGTAAATTTAATTTCGGGGTATATTTTTTTCAAAAATTACACTAATATTTTTTTGGTAAGATTGCTCACGTTTTTAATTTGCACATTTCCAGCGATTTGTAAACACTATTGCATTTGTGACACGGAGCTCTTGAAATGACTTCATATGAAGTTTTGCGGAAACTCAATAGTTTTCAGTGAAGAGAGGTTCAAATTTCACTTATAGTAGCTCTTAAACGCCATTTTCTTAATAACGTCTCCAATTGTTTCATAGAAAATTGCCTTTAAGGCGAGGTTTTTCTGTTCTTTAATACTCTTAAAATATTATTTCTGTTCTACTATTATGAAACCGAAAAATTAAGAAAATTGTACTTTGCGGCGATAGATGGCAGCTGGCAAGAGTATGTGGCAAGACCGAGTAGCTAGGCGAGACAAAAGGAAGTAGAAAATTAATGCGGGAAAACCTGTGCCATTTTGTAGTACTACTAATTTTTATGTAGTACAGTAATAATGTAAAAAAATTAAACAAGTTACTATAAATTAATGAATTTCGCGGGCGTACAGCTCCTTGAACACGCAAGAACCTTTGTCTGTTAAACCACCTAATATGAACGTAGAACGTTTTCGCAACTACTGCACTTCTAAGTAAACAGATTACGAAATAAAGATTTTTTGATTCAAAACACGCAATTTTACTCCCAATTGTTCATTTGAAATCTGACTGATGTATTTTCATTTTAATAAATTACTCATTTGATTTACTAGAGGGATTGATAATTCATATAGCTAGACTAAAGAGCCAAAAAACTGGTACACCTGCTTAAAATCGTGTAGGGCCCCGCGAGCACGCAGAAGAGTCGCAACACGACGTGACATGAACTCAAATAATACCTGAAGTAGAGATGGAGGTAATTGACACCATGAATCCTGCAGTGATGTCCATAAACTCGTAAGAGTACGAGAGCGTGGAGTTCTCTTCTAAATAGCACGTTGCAAGACATCCAAGATATGTTCAATAATTTTCATGTCTGGGGATTTTGGCGGCCAGTGGAAGTGTTTAAATTCACAAGAGTACTCCTACTGTGTAGCAATTCTGGAAGTGTGGACTGTCGCATTGTCCTTCTGGAATTGCCCAAGTCCGACGGGATCCACAATGGAGATGAGAGGGTGCAGGCGGTCAGACAGGATGCTTATACCTACGTGGCACCTGTCAGAGTCGTACCTAGGCGCATCAGGGGTCTCATACCACTCCAACCACACATGCCTCATACCATCACAGAGCCTCCATCATCTTTGACAGTCCCCTGTTAACGTGCAGGATCCTTGGATGCATGAGGTTGTCGCCTTACTCGTACGCGGCCATCCGCTCGAAACAATGTGAAATGAAATTCGTCAGATCAGACAACGTGTTTCCAGTCATCAACAGTCCAATGTCGGTGTCGACGGGCCCAGGCGAGGCGTAAAGCTTTGTGTGGTGCATACATCAAGGGTAAAAGACTGGGCCTTCGGCTCCAAAATACCATTTCGATAATGTCTCGTCGAATGGTTCGCACGCCGAGACTTGTCGATGTCCCAGCATTGAAATGCAGCAATTTGCGTAAGGGTTGCACTTTTGTCACGTGTAATAATACTCCTCAGTCGCCGACGGTCCCGTTCAAGCACGATCTTTTTTCGGCCGCAGCGATGCCGGAGGTTTGATGTTTTACCGGATTCCCGATATTCAATCATACACTTCTGAAACGGTATTTACATGCACCTAAGAAAATGCAGTATGTGTTTTAACGCATTACAAGCATGAGAATAAGCCATATCACGCATCCTTTAAAGAGTCTACAGACTGAGCAGCCGGGGCAACCCTTGATCGCCAAAACATGTAATCAGGTGAGTCAGGGCAGCGACATGACTCGGGTGGTTACAGCAATAATGTATAATAATATTAATAATAATAGTAATAATAATAATAATAATAATAATAATAATAATAATAATAAAAACACCAGTGGTTGAATATTAATGACAGAAGAGATATTTAAAGCAAATTCCATGCTGCCAGACTGTGAATCTCCAACATTGCTAAGAGTTATTGTGTTTCTCCGAGTTATCAGTGCCAGTCTAGTAATTGTCTGTAGTGCTTGTGGCACAGAGCGAAGTCGCTTGCATTACACCAAGGAGGTCCCGAACATTCTCGTTTGAAATTTGTTCCAACAAAACGAGTTTGCCTATTTCACAGGGGCTAGTTCAACTTCTGTCAGGCGTTCTAAACCCTGCCCCTATCTTAATTCCTTTGCAATTCTGGCTGTTGGGTTCTTGGCTACTTGGCACAATATATACCTTCTGAATCATCCCTTACATAAATAAATCATCATTATCTGAATCACCCAGGAAAAGGGATAATATGAAGGCACAAACCTCTGAGGTGATGTGAAATGGTAAGGCACATATCACATTACTAACACAAAGAATTTGTTTCTTTCAAGTGTGTATTTGACCGTTTTTTTGAGAGTTTTTTAAACTGTTGGGAATTAAAAATTTCATTTAGGACCTTGCTTTACACAATTAAAAAACACAACAAAACATATTTTACATCATCACCATCCTATTCACAAAAATTACACTGTTTAAAAATAATAAATTCATTCTTTATTACAAATATACAAATATATTACACTCGTATACATATTCAAGCACATCACAGTATAAAGATAAAAAAGACTTGCACACTTTCTCACCAAATATTTTTGGTAAATATCATTGGTTTTTTTTTGTTTTATCACAGGATAAATGTCAAAAAGAGAGCCATCATTTCAAAGAAAAGGTGTCATGGAGAGAAATATAACTTATTCTTCTCTTTGATTATCCATATACTATCAATAATAGCACCACCCTGCAAATAGAATTGCAAAGAGTAAAACAATTTGTTGTCAAAAATGTTAGAATAAAAATCATCATGCCAAATAGTATACAAGTTAATATCCATACTGCCTACAGTAACGATGTGTCTACCCTTTCAAAAAGAATTACATTGTCCTAACACAGTTTAAAAAACAAAATAAGATTGTTTTTAAATATAATTATTACAGTGACCTATTCTTCCAGACACATAAGGAACTGTTCAATTTACACAAATTAATCTTTAGTGTTAATAAAGATTCATACAAATTGCTCTCAAACTAACACATTCAAAACAATGAAGTAAAAAGAAGAAAAAGAGTTGATTGCTTACTTTTGTGTCAGACACCTGAGACACAAATAAGTGGGTATGATTTGCGGGCTCCAATCGTGTGTAGCCATAGTCTGTGCTGCGAAACGCAGACCACGATGGCTTATCATCAGGGAATGGAGAAGTTTTTTCTTTGCAACCCTGCAAACATACATTTTTATTAAATTCACTCACATTTTATCATCAAGACCACTTCTCAGAAACAATACATCCTAATTGTTATAGAGAATCTTTTCTTTTTTTAAAAATATTAAAAAAGTATTGTATCACGTGAGAATAATTGTGGTTCTAGAGTTGTGAAATCGCTCTAATTTTTTTGATCCATTTCCCATTTTATTCGAGGTTCAGCATCATAACTGAGAACCATTTAGATTCTGAAAAATTACAACAACACCAAGTTGTTGGCTGGAAACACATCTACTGATTAATTGAAGGATTTGACTTCAAAGAAATTTTATTGTACTTTTTTGTTTTATTTATATGTACCACTCCTACAGAAATGCAATCACAAAAAATATAAAAATTACTTTTTTCAATGTGATATGCAAATGGATAAGGAATAATACGTACTGCAGAACCTGTTGTAATGTGCACAGGTGCTCTAGGATTTGTATAGGGAGCTTCTGTAGAACCATTCAAAACAGTGTAGTTGTAGATAGGCCACAGCCGTTCATAAGAATGCTGGTGGGCCCAGAATGCCAGGTCTACTCTATGCTTGAATAAAAGGTCTTCCAAGCCAAACCTGAGAGAAAGAAAAAAAAATGGACAAAAGCATCTACATTAATTTGACTGAAATAATGTACACCTACAGAAAAACCTATAATTAATAAAAGGAGAAAATGAATGAAAATGAAAAATTATTCAAATGACACATCTACAAATACTTGCTAAATTAAAATGAAATAAAACGAAATTACAGAAGGTTAGAACACCAAAACACAGCAGTTTGTATTTGTGAACTTCCATATCATTTTTCTTACAAGATAAAACCAGTTAGATCAAATATTACATCAAATTTATATTAGCAAATTATCTCACCTGAAAGTTCCCTTTTTCAAACAAACAGGTGTTTAAAAGTCAATATTATTGATTCTGCTATTCAACAATAAGATCCATTCTCAATAATAATCATCAAATTATCTTTAAATAACACCATTCATAAGCAATAGGAAAAAAAATTTCTTATGTTTTATCAGTTATAATTTTTGCATATAAGGATTTTAGGTTCTATAAGGAAGTTATAAAATATTGAGTAACATCACTCGACAAAAATTTTTTTTCCAGATGAATCAAAGTTTTGTTCAAATACAATTCTTCCCCATTGTACTAGGAAAACCATTTGGCAGAAAAAAGTTTAGGGACCAGAAATTCATAATAATGTGGTACTTCTATTTCCTTGATTCAATCTTCAGGTCTAAAGAAAATATTTTGATAGCTGAAATGAATCTTATGCTCTGTGCGAATTTAATTAACAAGATATTTTCCTATAAAAACTCTAAATTTCTACAACGGAACAAATCAACATAGAAAAAATGATTTTACAAAATATTGAAACAAAACGGCATGCTACAGAGATGTGCATTTTTCATTGAAATACATTAAAATATTGGTAATGTTAGTTGTGTTTACAGCATGAGAGCTTATTAAACTAGTATATTCTGACGAGTTCTTTTGATTAGAATAGAAACTTCTAAAATTATGGTCAGATTTTTTAATTTTCAGTAATTTCTGCATTGCTACACTACAATATACAAACTCACTTTCAATTATATTTTTCATATGAACACTCACCAATTTCCAACAGGCAACCCTGTCCGAGTTCTCGCTGTTTGATCTGAACAATCTCTATGTTTTTTATTAGAGCAATACATGGGTCGATGTCCAACAACTACAATCCAAGGACGAAGTCGGCGATTCTTTTCAAGGTTTGCTTCCTGAAATGAAGACAGAAATTCATTCACATTTGTCATTGTTATCACAATGTTCATAACTGACTTATACTCATAGAATCATAACCATCATCAACCCTCAAAAATGACAAATATCAGCTTTACCTTTCCATTCCAGGCAAGATTTAGTATTGCATTTAAACTTAATTAGTTGCCTTACTAGGAAGATTTATAGAATATTTGATTTTATTATGCTCTTACATCAAACTCAAATGCTTGTCCATAAAAATATATTTTCATCAACTTTTTTCACAATACATCTTATCTTTAGAGACAAGTTGCATCACAGACAATACCTCCAAATCCTTTTCAAGCCAGTTGAACTGCTTAACAACCAGTTTCAGTCCATAACCAGTAAAGTAGTACACTTCAGTTGAAATAGAAATGAAGTGCACCGGCCCCAAGTTGAAGGAATAGTAGAATTCTCCCTCTTCTCCTCCAGGCATTCGGAAACGATTGCGGTATTCACTGTAGTTACTACAACGCAAACAAAGGCACACTCAATCACTCCAACTCTGACATTGTGCATATCTGCAAAGTCGTGAAGATAACAACATTACTCTTTGTTTTCCAAATTGTACTCACTAATGTTTGAACAGCATTCACAAATCAAAAGATGGAAATTTTAAAGATGTATATTTTATGAAAGATCCTACATTATTAAAGATTCCATGTTAGAAAGAGGCCATGACAATATTTAATTTTCTAATAAATACAGAAATATTATTTTATTATGGCAGATTCAATGAGCAATCAAGTACAAGCAAAACCCAATCACATACAAATACTCATTATACTTGCAAATTTAATAGTTGCACTACTATCAAATGCACCTGAAGTTCAATTTATATAAGAAAATCTGTTACCAAGATTTTATTCTTTTAAACAAGATTTGCTGATGTTTAATTATTTTCACTCTAGAAAAAATAAATTGGATATTTCTATTCCACTCTATCACACAAATTTATAATACAGGTTACTATAAGTTTATATTTTTAAATACTAATCTAGCACAATTCACAAAACTTCATCACACTAAAGAATAATTGATTGATTGATTGATTGATTGATTAGCATTTCCAGGCTACTGCTAAGTCTGCTATGTCAACTGCTAAGATCCTGCAAGGTCCATTAGTCTCGTAAGTGTAATGCATGCTTTTACCCTAGAGAGATTTTCCCCTGGTGGATGGCAAGATGCAGCAGCCATCTACAAAGAAGCATGCAGGGTTTCCCCAACCAGGTATCTCCCACCAGTGGGACATCGCCCCAGCCAGGACAAGCTCTAAGCTCCCAACTGGTCTTCCGTCAAGGGTGGAAGTGTAGTGCATGTCGGTGTAAGTGTATGCAAGTAAGGGTGAGGATAGGCCAAGAAAGAGGAATAAAACATTCGTGCAGTCCATGGCCTGTTTGCAATGGTACTGCTCCAGCATTTGCCCAGTGTTGAGGGGAGAAACCATGGAAAATGACCGACCAGAGCAACGAGTTGCCTGAATTCTCCTCCAGACAGCAGCTGAATTCAACCTAGCTATCCAGCTACTGTCAAAAACCCTGCCACCGCCTGGATTTGAACCGCAGGACCTACCAGTCTCAAGCATTGCAGTGACATCAATTGATGCCCTGAGCCACCTAAGCTGGCTTATAGAATAAAGAACTTTACTTAGCAAGCTATACTTTCAACAAATCAATATTTGCAATTTTGTAAAAATTTTCAAAGTTCATAGTTATATGAGTATATAGTTATATCACAAACTTTCAAAATTATTTCTTAGGTGAAGGTTTAAGGCACTTTTTGGCAATTTTATGTTTCATACTTTAAAAAAAAACTCATTTAATTAATATTGTCATGAAAAACACAAGCTCTCATTTGGAATTAATGTCTTGTGTCTGTGGTGCAATTGCTCCCAGTCATAAGACTTTACTACTAAATAAGAGCTTGTTTTTCTTGTCAATATTATGTGAAAAATTTAAAGGGTCAAAATGTGACTTACCATATTTACCCAAATATAAGTCGACTCTGAATATAAGATGACTTCCAGCTTTGAAGAGGCCTTCTTAGATTTTTTTAAAACTAATTCTTACTACTAACTCAAAACAAATTGTAAATAGTCCACAAAATTGTAATGCTGATGGAAATGATAAAACTTATTGTCTGAACTATCAATATTTTCTTGTTTCTTGAAATCATCATAATCATTTTTTTTGCTACTACAATCTTCATCTTCTCATTTATTACTGTTTCTTTCTTTTTTGTTTTCCTGCTGTATTGTGTCGCTCTCCAAATTTTTAGACCCCCTATAAGTTTTGAGTATTGAATTTGTGTTCATCTGATGCCACGTCTGAATCACTATGTTTTTCCTGTCACACTCTTATTCATGATCTCTCATTCTCTAACACTTTTTTCACATTCTTTAACAAATCAACCTGAAATTTGCATCATTTCATGTTCATGTGATTGAACTGTGAACTGCAATCTTTTTCACCTAATTTTCATAGGTAATATGAGAGACTGCAGCTAGTTTGCAAGTTGGAGAAAATCTTTAATAAGAATTTTTTTTTCCATTCCGTCTCTGCAGTTGAATGTAGAATCTGTACTTCTATTGATGTGAATCTTTCATTTCCCTCTCTTGGTAACCACAGAATTACATTCGCCAGGCATCGAACCAAGAGTCTACTTAGCCTCATCTACCATAGCATTGTGTAACAAAAACTGCATTGATTTTTATTCTTTTTCATGTTGCGATTCACTTATCACAATACCATTCATTTAAGATTCTCTTTTTACCAGCTCATTCAAAAATATTGGTCTGGATCATTCAAAATTTGCCATAGACACCAAGAATATGCCCGCAAATATAATTACAAAGTATTATGTACCTGCATGATATTTATCGCCTTTGCAACTTATTGCTACCTCAGCATTCAATGTTCTCGACGCAGAAATCCAGTGGAAAAACAAATCTTAACTGAACAGACTTACTCTGTAAATATAAGATTTCCCCACTTTTACAAGTGAGATATTTAGGAAAAAACTTTACCTTATATTCAGGCAACCACGTTGAGTCCTTACAACCATATACCACAGATTTCTGTTTATGTCCCATTAATAACAAAAACACAATTGGTGTAATGATTAATTGATTTTATATATTTTAATCCAGAACATTAAATAAGTAAAAAGGAAACAAATGAAGTCAAATATCTGACCAAATGTTCCAAAGATTACACTATACTCACAACGTAAACATTAGAAGTGATGATTTTTCAAAAATTGTGATAGTGGCATTTAATGCACTGTCTTTGAATTTCTTTTCCTTACACTTTACTTCCAAGAACTATTTTTTGTCATAAATAAATATACTTACTGTCTTTCTTCATGATTGCCCATACAAGTCATGTAAGGAACATATGCAGCAATAGACTGAATCTGCCTCATGAACTGATCACCTCTTTCACCTAAATCCTGAAAAAAGAGATTATTCAATTAGAACTAAGAATGTGAAAACATTTATGGGTTAGATATAAAAAGAAGATGGAAGGTTTTGTCTCAGACTTCACTGTAGAACATAATGACTGAATTAGAGACAGAACGGTGAATGAAAACATTAACTCCTCAATTATGAACAGAGGCTTCTCATCTTAATATTTTTTAAAATTTAATTAACTTTGTTGAATCCAAGGAAGTATTTTATTACTATGAAATGTGACAAATAGGGGTCAATTCATATCTAGTGGTCTAGAGCACCCTGCACAGCCATAAGGAGTTAGTTTTGATGAAATTTTGTAGACCGACACACGTTTCTATGGAACTTTTATGAAATTGTGCTTTCATAAGTGTAGTTTTTGAGATATAGCAGTTTGTTTGACCTTGTGCGGCAACAACCTATAGTACAACTACAAGATTTTCACAACTTCATGATAAAATATTTCCTTCCCCATTATCACTAAACAAATTAACCTGAGTTTACTTGTACAACTTTGTTCCCTCTATTAAACAGAACTAATATAAATTTGCCTTTATTAACATCAAGTGGGTACATTGCAGTAAACATGCCAATTTTTTTAAATTCATTTTTGAGAAGTACACATGACACTGTGTCCACATCTTTCTTTACTTTTCGTCTTTCTCTTCCTGTATGCCTCTCTTCCTCTACATTTAGGTGTTATCAATTTCTGACTTTTTTCCTGCTTCTCTTTTTTCATGACTTCCCATTTGAAAAACCAGCCCCTATAGTCATACATCTTAACCAAATAATCAAATAAAATGCAATGAAAGCTCTTCCCTCATCTTAAATATAGAAGCGCATTTAACAAGCAGAATTTTGTGGTTTACTAATTCAAATGCAGCCTCACTAATCTCAAGATTAATCCATCAAAACAACTCACCGAATCCAAATCATATGCAAAGTCACCAATGTGCAAAATGGCATCATACATGCCCTTCTGCACTTCCTGTTGTAAGCGAGGGAGAGATTGCGGATTTTCATTTCCCATGTCACCAAACACAACAACATGCGGGCTCCAACTGCTCTGATCCGCAGGTGGAGTTTTGAAAAAGAAAACCTCTGACCAGCCAAGCTCGCTACCCACATGGTACACTGCAACAACACATTCAACCTTCTATGAAATAATAAATATTGAATGTCTTCCTTCTTTTAGAAATACAGTAAACAGAAATAGACAAAAATATCAGAATTTGATATTAAGAATAGGAAGATATGACAGAAAAATAATATAACTACAAATGTCCAGAAGATGTTCACACAATTCAGGATGATTATTCTTTGACCTTGGAATGGGTACTCTTTCTCTTCCAAGTCTCTTACCTACTTCAAAAGGAAAATAAATTACACCTTTTCTCACAATTCTGAAAAAAATTAATAATGGAATGGATTGGAATGAAAATGTTTACAACTTTCTTACACTTACAAAAAATATCTTGCTTCATTATCTCTTTTCTTTCCATATGAAACCAATTTCTATAAAATAATTTATGAGAGGTATTCAAAATTTGACTAAGATTGACATATACATAAATCAATTAATGGCCATGATGAACTAACAGTTAAAAGCAATTCAAGATAAAGAGAAGAAACCAAAGAAAACGTCCTTCAAAATCCCCTTAGACCAGCACAAACTTCACCTAGATTTACAGGGATGAGATGTGCAGGATCTCTTCACAATGTAATGCTAGTATTAACTGGAGAACACATTGAATTCCTCATTATGGCAACATAAGCTACCACAAGTGAAGAGAATGTGTGAATTCGGTTCTGTACATTTTGAGTTGCCATTCATTATTACAAAATCCAAAATCATGTCCAAGGTGGGTTGGCCTTTCCCCCACTCATTGACACATATTCACAAAAACAGTTTTGACTAATTCCCTTCTTATAAAACAACATATAAAAGTAAATTATAAACTGAGGGTAAATGAAAAATTATTTATAAGAAAACATGAAGTTGGTTGAAAGCTTTACCCCAACAACTAAAGAACTCCCACCACCCATGAACACAGAAAAATCGTGGGCTAAATTCAATGAAAATTAGTTTCATAATCGTGCTGAAAGACAAAAATCTTATTACATATTTCAGATTCATTGTGATTTAATTATGTAATTTATTTATCAATACTGTTAAAAGAGAAAAGTGATACTTTGAGATTTTAGATAAAAAGAAGAATGAGATTAAGAATTTTATGAGACATTGACTTATAATGAGAAATTCATTAAAAAGATAAATTTTACTTCACAATGGCTTCCACAACAAAGTGATGGTGCTAAAGGAATAAGTATTAATATTAAAATACAATGGACAAGTTGCATATACTCACAGTAAGATTTGCCTGGCTTCAGACCGGTCAGTTTCACTGAGTGAACATATTGTGTCTTTATTTTATTTTTAAATTTCTTGAAGCCATGTGTTGTAAACACAACAGTCTTTCCCTCGGCTCTTTCATTAAATTCATTTGCACCCATTTTCTTCTGAACTGTGTATTCCACCACAGGAGTACGAGTTTTGTTGAGAGTACTCCATGTCACTATTAATTCAGAAAGATTGTCTGCAAACAAAACGTTCAAAAAATATAGGAATTTCAAAAAATGAAAGGTAAATCATAAAAGTGCAGGAAGAAATTATGTATTAATTTTCCACTAAAACAAAATATCGTAACATTGAAACAAAAAAATTACCAATAAAATTTTTTTTTTTTAAATTGTCCTAGAAATTAAAATAATGTAAAGTGCAAGATAATCCACTATAATTCAAAATATATAACAAAGAACCCAGTGTTGCAATGTTATGAATCAACAAATCCAAAGGTAACCTACTTCCTTTCTTTGAGACCTATAAGAGCAGAACAATGACTATCCACAAATCTCAAAGGTTAACTCAACATTAAAGTTCATCCAGATAACTTTCCCCTCTCCCTGTTTCTAAAATACCTCTTCCACACAAATTTAGAGATTTGGAAGTTAAGACTCATTTCATTGTATGCTATCACCATGAACACATCCATGGGTATAGCTCATCTGAAAATGCAATCTGAAAATGCAAGGTATATCAGAATGAATTACAAGGAATATGGAAGCTGATTGTATTAAGTGCCCCTGATCTCTCTTCTGCAAATTTCACTTGAAGTGTCCAAGCTTCAAACACAAAGAAATAGAAATAGAAAGTGCATTCTGTAATAAATAAAATGTAGTACGCCTCAACATATTTCACAAAATATTGATTATATCCGGAAGCTCAATCAGTAGACAAAACAACGAGAGAGAATTCAAAGATTTGGAAGCAATCAATTCAAAAAAAATATTTTTTCACATCATAGAAAGAGATCATCCAGTATTTCATTGCACTAAGTATTCACTTTCCATTCCTATTTCTTGATAATCAAACCTCATGCACTTCAAGGGTAAATTGTAGAAGATTAAACAGGCGATCACAGTCAGCTCCTTGATATTCACAATGTTCATTTTGGTGTATGTCCAGAATTACACAATCATGTAATCATTTGATCTATCATATTATGCATTTACAATTCTTTATCGATTCAGCTCTCACGCCTATCTTCTCATAGAAAAATAATCTCTGGAAAAAGTATGTCATGAAAGAAACAGAAGAAGAAAGAAATTGTTTAAATGCCTACAAATCAAGGGAGATTCAAGAATGTTCTGTAATTAGAACATTAATTATTAACTACCTGTAACAAAAATTTTCTATGCACTCCAAAAACACTAAACCTGTGATGAACTCAAGATATGAAGATGCACCATGAAATTTCAAGGCATCGCCAATGTGTGAGAAAGTATTTCAACAAGATACTGGATCATAATTCTAAACTCTGTGATATTAGGTGTTGTGGCGGTGTACATTATCATCTTGGGGAGCTGTGAGAAACCAAAAGGACCTGGATTGTGAAGTGCAGTTCACATGCCACAAAACATTGAACTGTCTCTATCAGGTGGGTAACGAATGGTTGACGTAAATAATTTATAACGCTGTTTTAATTTCCATTAATTCTTGGGAATAATGCAAGTGCTATATTGTAATAATTTACATTAAAAAATTAGATTTCCACTTTCCTTCCGGTCAAGAATACAAAACATTTTCTAATTTGTATTTTAGATGAAACATAAAGGTGACATTAAGAAATTTCTAAATTATAAAATAATTAACACTTGCCACAGTAGTTTCTTTCTTATTTAAACTATCAAGAAAATTTTAACCAAATATTTCAAATATTAAAATAGAATCACTTTTTTATTAACTATATTAACTTGCCATTAGCTTCTAACATTACACAATTCTGATACGATTACTGATGGGATAATGACGTGATTTGAAATTACCTCATGCTTAAATAATGACATCTCCTATTTTGTTGGACTTATATAAATAATTCTTAGTTTCAAAGGAGTCACTGCCGGATCCACGGGGAAGGCCATGCCCCAAAAGATCAGCCGGATCTGCCCCTGAATGGAGTTATCAACATTACGGCACATTTGAACTAACAAATAAGGAAATGAATTTTTAAATACACCAATGGTTGTAGATGCATATATAAAATACATTCATATATTTAAAAAAATCTGTTAGACATGCAAAGTGTTTTATTCCCTGTAATCTGAAATCGCTCCCTCATTTTATTGTTAAAAATTCAAGAAAACTATTCCAACCTGTTTTTAAACTGCTGTATCTCTCCGAACTGAATTTTAACTGGTTTAAGTTTATTTTTGTGCAAAAGTTACCTAAAGTAATGGGGGAAAAAATTCCAAAACACTTTGCTTTCTTATTGATGGTTATTTATCTCCAATTTAATTAACAGATTGATTATAAATTAAACTCTTCTGAAATTAAAAAGCGAACTTTAATTTTATGTCTAATGTGCTAAAATATTTTTAAAATAAAAAAATGGAATTTCTTTCTTCTGAAACTAAATTAATTTTGGTAATGACACTGCTGATACATAAATAGTCTAGTGGTACTTTTACTGCTGCCCGATTCATACATCACATTAACCTCCAAAAAATAATTATAAAAAGTGAATTTCAGTTGGTACTTATATGCATCGCATACCCATGATTATTTACTGTAACTTCACCACTTCTATTAGTAGTTTTATTGTACTGTGTATATTCTACATAAGAACACAATGAATTGAAAATTATCAGAGTTATTTTGACAATAATAAATTTTCGATTAAAAAACTCTAAAGCATTATCATTCAAAATTTTTGTGAAACATGTTTATGGTAAGTTTTATGAACAACTAAAATTGGGCTAACAACAAGAAACTTTTATAAAGAAATAAGTCATGAAAGTACCACAAAATTTACACTTTTAACCATAGTACATAAAGAAAGTGAAGAGAGAAAATAGGCTTTGCCAAACCTGTTTATTTCTTTTGTTTTTGAAATGTTATATAAGAATTTTTGAAAAGAAAATTATCAGTAGTGTTAAAAATAAAAAGCTCTTAACAAAAATTATTTTTATAAAAATTGTAAACAACGATCTCTTTTATGTAAAATTACATTCATTCAGAACTAATCTCAAATTATTTATTTCATTTGAATAAATCAAGGTTTTTGCTAGACAATTAGTGATTTTTGGAAAACTTCTTTACTTCAAAATTGGCTGCAGTACTGTTTCACTTCCATGTGTTCCAAAAGTTCTGCAAATATTTTATACATATTGAACCACCTACAAAAAAGACTGTCAAAATCTGTCATCTTTAAATTAAGTGAAGAAAAATTTTTTTAAAAACGTCTATCTAACAAATAAAAATGTCTAACGAGAGTTCACAAGACAGTCGTGAATAGAGTAAATCATTGTAAAGCAAATATTAATTTTTGATTTGGGTCACCTCTGTAATCAGGGATATGGTTTTACTTAGAAATAATAATAATACCTATTATTAAACTATACAAAATATGATATATTATGTGAAATCTTATAAAACCATGAAGAGTTCATAGATAAGTCCATTTTATAGTGGGGTTATCAGGCATTGAATGAGCAGTTACACCAATTTTTAATCATATTACAAAACATTACTGAAGTTATAATTAGAAATTTATCTTCTTCAGCAACAAATAAAGACTTCAAAAATTGCAATTAGCATTTTACAGCAATTTTCATTATCATTAAAAACAATATATCTTTTATTCAATGTGCTTCATCCTGCCAAAAAAAAAAATTGAGTTGGAAAATATTACAACTGAACCTGTCTCAGTTTTAAATGGATCAACATAAAGACACACTATTTAAGGATCAACAATTAAGAAGCACAAACTTTTGTACAGTAATTAGAAAAAATATTTTTTAAATATGCACAAGTGAACTCTTTTAATACAAAATACAATTTTCAATTCAGAGAAATTAGTTGAAAACTGTACAACTGAACAATAAATATTTTTCAAAGTACTTATTAAGTAAAAACAGTAATTAAGTCCTTTGTCATTCAGCTGATCCATACTTAAATACATGCGGCACGCCAGTCAATAAAATTATACAAAATATTATAGGATGTTTTTTTAAAAAGTGGTTACCTCCATAAGACAAGTGGATTTGCTCCGGTTGATATCCCACGAAGCAAAACGCTAACCCGAAGGCTGCCGCTAGAACCACTAAACGCGTCACCATGCTTCGCTTTGATGGCAAGAACTGCTGTGAAGACAATGGCATATGCTATAAATATGCAATCAAAGCAATTCGCAAGTCAGCAAATGTACGCACAGCATAATCAAGGTAGTTTAAGCTATGTTGCTACCTCATCAACTTTAATAGTCACTAGCGGGAGTGTCCTAAAATATTTTGCAATGAACACTGACCGAGACTCCCGCTTCAACTGAAAGCAAAGTGACTTATACAATGTTGAGTACGATCCAATATTTAAATAGATGAGTACGACGCAACCATATCTCCCGCGAATGTGTCATATCCCCTTCCCTTTGTGTCAGCTGGTCAGCTGACAGCCCTTATCAAAGCAAAACAGATGATAAGTTTCTTTGAAGTACCAAGGGTTGTAAAAAAGGGACGCAAACTGAAATGCGAAATCTGAAAAAAACGTTGAAACAAACGGGAAGCAAAATAAATTATTATTTGCATTTTCTCTGTCCATAAAATATTGCTCCCGACGTAACTACGTAATACTGAGAAGCAATAAGCAGTGTCTCGCAAATTCCTTATTCAGAACAGGTGTGGATGTCATCTGGGAAGTGTGCACCAACTACTACAGTTTTGCAGTTTATTAATCTGTGTCCAGCAAGGTCATTGGTCATAGTTGCAAGTATTCATCGTTGCCCGATGAATTGATTTGCGAATTATTGTTAACTGGTGCTCTTCATATAACCTGCAATTTGAATTATCAGGTGACGTCAGGTTTGATATTACAAACCTATTGTTATCTCAGTTTGTGATTGTTGATATCCGAGAGACAGAGATAAACGTTTGTTCCCTCAGTCTTCATTCATGATGCTGCGGCTGTGGTATTTGTTATTCGTCCCGTGTACTCTTGCGTACGTCTCTTATGTACCCGAGCAGGTACATATTTCTTACGGAGGTAAGAAGAAAGTTGATCTCAAGTATCCATTGTCAAATTAATATTTTGATAAAACACACCAACTTACTCCGAAATACACACACACACACACACACACAACATAAATACATACATTTCTACTTGCATTCAAGCAGTGTCATGATATAACTAAATGATATCATAAGCCATTAGCAGATAATTCGAATTCCATAGCTTTGAAAAATTAATTAATTAATTAATTAAAAATCTTGTTTTAAAGTATATTTCGAGGTTGTCCGTTAATGCATTAATTTTCCCATAGAGAACCCATGGGAGATAACTGTGATGTGGAACACCCTGAATAATACATGGACCTCAGTGGTAGAATATGGAATTAATGGTCTAGCTCTTCGAGCTGAAAGTAAACACCCCAAAAAATTCATCAGCCCTGGCACAAATGGCAGTGCTCAGTTCATACACAGAGTCACCCTGAAGAAACTCACACCTGATAGTAAATACAGTAAGTCAAATCTGACATTTCTCTGTAGTGACATTGGTAAAAACAGGCAAGGGGCTACAGTACAACTGAATGCACTGAAAAGAGGAAGAAAAAAATAAGTGCTCCAGATCTGAACTGATCATAAATGCTACATTAGATTTAGTGAGACTCCTTTTGCTTTTTAATGTTTTACTTATGGTGTTATAGGTCATATCCTATATTGTGTACATATTTGACATTTGCACAATGCAACCAGTCACTGCAGTTAAATATTAGACTCCATGCTTAAGTACTTTAATGGGTAGTTTAAAATGTCAATGTGTCTCACAATTGTTGATTATGTAATGTATTTTATTGGACCAAAAGTTTTTTCTTCTTCTTTTTTCCATCCCATGTTAAAAACATTTTGGATAATTCAAGACAGTTATACCACCCACTTTGCTCTTTCAAATCTTTGCAAGGTTAGAAATGTTCATTGGCAAGAGTTTTTGCTGGGGTCTCAATGCACTTAATTGAAAAACACAAGAGTGAACCGTAATTAACCAACACAGAAATATAACTTTTAATATCATAACAGTAGGATATCATAGGTGTGCACAGCCTAAAATGAGGAGAGGAACTACATTTCTGGGTCCCTCTGGGCCTCCTTTTCCATCAAACATTTTTATTTTCATATGACATATTTTACTAGGAAGTAAATGGAACAATGAGGGTGAAATTATAATGTGGGCTTGCACTTGCATGTGTGTGTATAAATCCGATAAAATATATGTGTGTGTGTGTGTTAATATACACACCCACGCATATTATCTCAGATTATTCTAGGAAGCATTATGTATAGATTAAGAAGTGATAAACATTTATCTGACCTTGCAGACCAAATTTATTTACATGCTTGGTAAACAATTTGCTCTAAAGCTTTTTTTACTCATCAACAGCTATGCAACAAATCAATATAATTTTAAAATCCTTAGCATTGCTCTTGAAGGTACTCTATCAGGGAAATTTCTGTATTTGTTTGGCCCAATAAACAATATTTTCAGATCACTTGAAAATTAGATCCATTGAAAAACTTGCCTGAAGAGTGGAAGCAATGGAAAAAAGATTTTTGAGATCAGAATCAGGCAGTACATAAAGAGAAAAGAAAAACTCAATGTTTTACTGAACTTTTGCTTAGTTTCCTACCTTAGAAAACCCTTTAGAAGATGGAAGACATGCGTAGAAAGAATGGGAAATACATGAATTCCAAATGTCTTGTTGAAGAATATTCCAAGAAGGAAAAAGAAACCTAAGACAATCAAAGGAAAGAGGGAAGAGTCAAGGTTTGTGAATGTGGAATGAAAGTTATTGGTTATGATAACTTGATGTTGAAGTTTGATGTCGATGTTAATCTTGATGTTATTGTCATTGACAATGGTGGTGGTGGTGAAGGTGATGGTGTAGGTGATGTAGATGATAATGATGACTGATGTAATTCCATCAGGAAAGGAATGCATGCTATTCACAATTTCGAAGTAATGGAAAGAGCCATTGTGCTAATCATTGTGTACATTTCAATACCACTTGTACAGTATTGACCATCTTTTGTTAACACACGTATATTTATATTGGAGCTATCTGAGTTTGTTTAACTTAACTCTTGTTCCCTTGTAGACTGTACACTGTGATCCCATTCAAACAACTGGGTAAAGCCAGAGAATCTATGAAATTTTACGAATCCAATGGTATTCCAAAAATTTAAACAAATGTTGATACTTGTGACTATGAATGTTTTTTGTGGCAAACATAAATATTTCAAATGGAAATATTCTAGTCATAATTTAAATATGCTATTGTGTAAATGGGAACTACAGTGGCTCAGCGGTAGAATACTGGCTTTTTGACCGGAAGGGCTCTGTTTTGAATACCGACATAGATTGGGATTTTTATCCTGTGGTTTTCATTGAGGGCAGCTCTTGGGCATGGAGGTCGACTCACTTCACAAGTGAGTACCAGGATCTGTCCTGGGCATAAAGGCGGTTCTCCTACCATAGTGCATGCCTCACAACCTCCACCTTGAAGAACAGGTAATGGCCCACCTTCACATCCCCCTTGGGCCATCACCGGCTTGTGAGGAATTGCAAAGGGGCCTTTACTTTACTTATTGTATAATAATAATAATAATAATTATTATTATTATTGTTGTTGTTATTATTATTTATATAATAATAATTATTATTATGATAAAGATGATAATAATAATAATTAGCGTAAATACTATAGATTTTTTTATTGTATTATATTGTAATGAGGACTTTGAAAAGTAAGGCGTGCTAAAACAGCACATACTTTCTCGCCCGTATTTTGGCGCAGAAAGTACTCAAATTTTCGAAAAATTACACATGACCTTATTTCAAAATTTACCTTCAAGGAATAGATTTCATTAAGGAAAACAAAATTTATATTTTTATTATTTTAGTTGTAGGAATGGCTGACTTGGGTCTGGCGGGGGTTTACTTATGCCCACAAGTAAGCACCAGTAATGCTTTCCTGTGATGGGAATGCTCGATTGGATCAAACGCCAGCAAGTCCTGCTCTCTCCTCCTCGTGTCGGCCCCTGGGTGCTCTCTAAGGAGAGCGCTTGGAGAGCAGGGCAAGGTCGAGTCCCTGGCGCCTGAAAACGGGAGCACTGGGATGCGGGAAGGAAACTCTGACAGAAAACCAACCTGCTGCCTTGCAGGGAGGAAGAGAGGGATAATACCCCCTCTGGGCAGTGTGGGGCACCCACCCATACTTACAAGCGGATTCAGAATAATTTAAATAGCCTCGGACAGAACGAACTACTTAGACGATCGCGCAAGAAACAGGTTATGAATATAGGCATATGGAATATAACATCGATTGCAAAAGCAATTTTTTTCGGAGTCTTCCTACAACTATTAATAATTATTGGTTATCAATACAGACATCCTCTGCATTTTCATTTCTGATGGTTTCCGCTCCATACTTCCCTTCCTATGAGACCTGCACCATTCTCTTAACCCGGCAGTGGGAACGTTGGGTCAGTCAGACCCAGCGACACCTTTGAAACCGTTTATCTAGTGAACGAAATTATTTCTTAACTTATCCACCACCCTACCTTCAAATTGAATCTTCTTGACCAGATGACGACCATTAGTTTGAGTTTATCAGAAAAACGTGGTGTGCTATTCCCGTTTAAATTGTTGATTGGTCCATCAGACACAACGTTCCCGTTTTCATGGCTTTTTTACAACATGGCCGGCTCATCCTAAAGTTATTTTAACGCATTAAATCCCAATGATATAGAATTAAAAAATTAGCTTTTAGAAAAAAAATGATTGTTTATCAAGTGCTGATGAAGTTGCTGATATATTATTTGAAGTAAAATGTACACACTGTACAGATTCTGAACAAAAAATTGAAGAAGCTAAACCTGAGAATCAAGAAATTAAACCTGAAAAATTTGTAATATATTTATTTATCTATTTGCTGTCTAAGTTTTAGAAATAAAGTTGATATTTTGGGGTTAAGAAATGCAAATTATTTTAAATTTTGGTAGGTCACAAAACTCTTTCTCGGGAAGGTTAAGAAAACAAAAAAAGTCGAAGAAATTTTCGCAAAACATTCTTCCATAACACATCATATAAAACATTAGTGTAAAAAATGCTTCCATTGTGTTTTAGTCATGCAAACATATTTTGTTAACATTGTATTTATTAACTTAATGCTGCAATTTCTTTTCTTTGATCTTCATTCACTTTCAATTTATTTTTTGGTCAATTATCAGAGACATTTAAAAAATAGGGAAATATTTTGTGCTTGATATTGGATCTATGATTTATTTGCATCTTTTACTTTACAATAAACTATTTGTGTAATTAATTAGTGTATTAAATAGGCTCTTATAACAAGCGGGTCTAACGTGCCCACTGACGTCAGGATTTTTCACGTTCCTACCGCCGGGTTAAACGTCCTTCACACTATCCAACAAAAAAAAGCCACTTAAAAACGTTAGTCACTTTTTTTTAGAACATTTGGGAAATGTCCTAGGGGCTTCATGAACCTCCTAAAATTAAAATATCGGTTTCAAATGCAACGGGCCGCGACATCAACCAGATTATAGGGGAATATCAAAATTAGAGAATATCGACCGAATGCTTTAGCTGCGTTATTCCCGGACGGACGGACAGACGAGAGTATAGGCTTCCGCGGCCGGAGTCAGTATTTACTAGAGGGCATTACGCCCTGAGGAAGGTCGCAGAATGGCGACCGAAACGTCGGCACCTTCGCTATGGACGCGGCGTCACCCGGACAGCCTAGTAAATACGGACGGACAGACGTTTTATCGTCACTCGATTTTCCCGTTTTAAAGTCCATATGACATGGATTCCGGCTACACCCCGTGATAGAGGATTTTTTTTTTCAAATTTTGCAACTGGATTAATCAACTGTTTAGTTGGCCCCTGTAATAAGAGTTTTACTGACAAAAATTCAGTTTTTTCGCGTAGTATTACAAACCTTTCTCTCTATTCCGTAGCAAGAAAGTAAAAATTGAGATTTGTATCTAATTGCTATAAAAGACTCCTGTTTAAAAAAATCCACAAGTGTTAACATTTCTAATCGTAAAAGTAATTAATTATTAATTTTAAATCGTAGCAATCACACTTGTTCAATTTATATTTTCTAGTACCAACATTTTTTAACTCTAATAGGCACATTACCTCTGAATGTAGTTGTTGAGTGACAATAGGGCTGGGTGAAAGCACGAGGTGGGAATGAAGCTTGAGATGTAGTTTGAGTATGAAATTTGAAACCTAAGAATTTTGTTTCAAACCTAAGGATTTAATTCATTTCTTCGGTATTACAATAAATGGACTACACGGATCACACAAAAAGAAGGCAATCGATTAAATAATTAACAAAAGCACAAACAAGTATAGCGCTGTGGTGGCAGTCTCGCAGTGGCATGGAAAGTTGCTGGCTGATCGTAAAAGAGGCCGCAAAAGGTGTTTATTCAGCTT